GAGTTCCTCAGGCTGAGGATGAAGGCCCCTGCTTCTAGAGCAGGGATGGCAAACCTTTTTGTTGTGGGGTGGCGATAGCACCCACAATGCAATGCCCCCCTCTTGCCCCCCTACCTGCATTGTGCATCTATGCATACCTCCCAGCTGATTTTCGGCCCGTTTGAGGCTGTTTTCGCCCTCCTGGGAAGCCTCTGTAGCCTTGGAAGGCCGAAAAACGGGCCTTCTGGAAATACCGGAAGTGTCCATTTTCAGCCTCCGGAGGGCCTCTGGAGCTCAGGGGAGGCCCTTTTCGCCCTCCTGGAGGATCAAGGGAAGCCTCTGCAGCCGCGGAAGGCCGAAAAATGGACCCGTTTTTCAGCCTCCCAAGGCTGCAGAGGATTCCCTCAAGACTCCGGGTGGGCGAAAATGGCCTCAAATGGCCCCCCAAATCAGCTGGGAGAGGTGCATGCATGTGCACTGCCTGGGGATCGCGTGCCCACACAAATGGTTCTGCGTGCCAGCTGTGGCATGCGTGCCATAGGTTCATCATCACGGTTCTAGAGCTTTCCCCTTACGGCTTGGCCTCTCCCTCCTGGCCTTGTCTGTCATCTGGCTTCCAATGGAGAAATAGGCCCCAACAGCTGTGGCCTATTTGTTCCTGTTCAGCGCATTCTCCCTGCCAGGGGCTCCCCTGGCAGACTTAAGAGAGTAGCAGAGACGAAGTTTTGACTATGTTACAGGCAGCTCAGATGGGAACCCAGCGGCCCCCAGGGAAGGACGGACACCAAGCATCTGGACAATACACAAGTAGCAACATTGGCCAAGGAACTTCGTTTTAATAATAAAATTTTCTGAACTTTCCAGTGTTTACTGCAAACTACCCTTTCTTTCACAAGCGGAAAGCATCCCTTTAGGATGAATCTGCGTGCCGTAGTAGACTACTCTACACTTAGTAAGCGGTCCTTAAATTAGCTTCCGACGCATGGATGCTGCTGGTCATCCACCCACCCCACCCCCAAGTGCACAGTGAGGAAGGAAGGATGTGTCACCACTATTCCAGGGGCCTTCAAACTGGACAGCTTTAAGACTTGTGGACTTCAGCTCCCAGAATCCCCCCTCCAGTCATGTTAGCTCAGGGATTCTGGGAGTTGAAGTCCACAAGCCTTAAACTTGCTTAAGGTTGGAGAGCCTTGCCCTATTAGGATATTTTCTTAGCCAACCAAAAGGTGCCGAGAACAGGCTTAGATTCAGCTTACCTTTATATTCTGACACAATTTAAATTTCTTTTGAGTTTCTGGGCCATTTGCCTTTTCTCCATTCTAGAAGTACATCAATGAAAAGCCCTTTTTAGCGCTGATGTCTGATGAGAAGGAAGTTGAAGGGCGGCAAATTCTGGTCACTCTGGATTTTTATTACGTTTTCATCCTCTCTACATTTCACAGCTATACGATGCTTCCTGAGGCATCTATTTATCTTTGGTCCTCTCCCTCCCTGTTGTATTCCTTTGCTTTCTTCCATCCATCCATCCATCCTCCTATCCCTTCCTTCCCTCCTTTCTCCGTCCCTTCCTTCTCTCTCTTCCCTTCTTCCCTTCTTCTCTCCTCCCTCCCTCCCTCCCTCCCTCCTTCCTTCCTTCCTTCCTTCCCCTCCAGCACACCAGGTGATCTATCAGTCCACACACACACACACCCTGTAGCATTCCTCCCTCCACTAAATCTAAAATCGAAAAATGATTTTAGAATCATTTTGGCTCTCTTGCCCACTGCGGAAGTATCAGCATCATATCCAGAAGCACAGAAGGGCTGGGCCGATTTAAAAGATTGTTCGGAGCAAATCTATTCGGATTGAAAGGGATTCTGTCCATTTCTGATAACTGGGGAACCACGGAGCGGCCTTGAAGTACAAAAACGCACCAGGCATTTTACGGAAGCCTCGCCCTCCAATTCAAAACCTGCCAGCGTTTCCCCCTCTTGTTTTTAATCAGGGATAGGAACGCTACTCAGAGCAGACTGAAAATATATCCAAGGTGGAAGATTCAACTCCCTTCTTCATCCCTGGTGATCCCGATTCACTGGAAGAGACCTTCTCCAACTCCACTTTTGCCCCTGGAACCCACCAGGCTGGCGTTTCTCTTTGATGCCCTGAAAAACAAATCCCTTGAAAAACCGAGATTTTTACCTTACTTGGAGAAAAGGGAATTCTCCGCTCCTCGCTTAAACACGCCAAGGTCAAGTCAACCGACAGTCGTTTGACTGGACTCCCGTTAAAAGGCTGGCACAGCGCCTTCAGCTGAGAAGGACCAGCTATGCAAGCCCCTGCTTAGGGACTGGGGAGGAGGGGGCAGAGAGGTATTTTCACCCCCTTGTGAAAGGGTTGAAGGTGTGACACCAAACTCCAAAACGCAGGTCTGTCCGACCGAGGACAGATAGACGATCCACCCGCCACGAGTGGGAGGGAAAGAGTAAACTCACAGAACAAATGTCTGGGATGCGCAGGCTGCACGAATGTGGACTAACTGGGGGTGGGGAGGAATGCACTGGCCAACAGAAACCTTGGAACCAAACAAAAGGGTCCACCCAGACTCTCCCAATGGAGCACTGATGAGAAAGAAGAGATTTTTGAGCCCGTCTCTCTCTCTCGTGTGCAATTTCATTTCCATATCCCTGCACGAGCTCAACACTCTTGAACGTCCTAGAGATAATAACTAGGAAATGATGCAATTTTATATAGCTGATGAGGATTTTTACAATAAACAAGTTTTTTTTTAAAAAAAAAACATAAGGAGAAAAAACCCAGGACTCTCGACTTCGCTGCCACTGATTCATGCTAACCAGGAGCTTTGTGGATTCAGCTCCTAACTATCACAAACGCAACAATTACAGTATAAAGGTTTTTCTACATCGGAAGTAAGAATTGGTCACGGGAGAAACGTTTTTAAAATCAGCGTTTTTCAGTACCAGAAGTGAAGGAGGAGGGGGGAGGGGAAATCCCTTGTGTCAACCTTGGGCGAGCACCTCATTCAACCGTGACAGATTTGGCCAAGTTTCTTGGAAAGTCAACCTGGAAGAAGGAAAAAGGATATATACACAACCTGTTAAAATCTTTGTCATGGCAGGAATTAAGGATGTTTGATGGTTCCTCAACACAGGCTTAGCTCACAAGTCACGAATACCTGTTCTCACATCCCCAGGAATTTGCTGGGGCCACTTAACCCCGCTAACATCGTAGCCTGAAGTGAGCTGGAAAGGTCTAGTGCAGGAGTATCAAACTCGGGTTTCATTGAGGGCCGCATCAGGGTGGTGTTTCGGGGGTGGGTGGGTGGGGCATGGCCAGTTCAAGGCCACTCGTGCCAGGGGTGCCTGTGGTAGCCAGAGCGCACTGCCAGCGAAAATGGGCTCCCAAGCTCCGTTTTCAGCTGGGACGGCCTCCTGCAACCCTCTACCAGTGGAAATAGGTTCCCAAACTCCGTTTTCGGCTGGGACGGCCTTGTTATGGCCCGCCGGTGGCTACTGGAGTTGGCAGCAGAGTCGGACTGTAGTAAGAAGGTTGGGGAGGAACCTGGGCCAGTCCTGGAGACTAAGGAAGGCTTGGATGAGGGCTCTGCGTCAGAGGCAGAGATGGGGCCAGGGCAGTCTGGCAGTCATTAGTTACCTTCGGGCTCGGACAGCAGTGAGGCAGGGGAGCAGCTGGAGCCAGTTCCCAGCCTGCGCATGCACAGAGCTGCCAGAAGAAGGGAACAAGTACAAACTAAGGGTCGATGCGGGAGTAAAGCCACAGGTGGGCAGCCAACGGCCCCTCCCGTAAGGATTAAAAGAGGAGCAAAAGGGGAGGGGCCCCAGGAAACAATTTGTTCATTCGTTGCAGCAGTGTGGAGATCTGTCTGTGCATCTCGGAGACTCTGTGCTGAGTCCTTCCTTGTCAGCATCATGTTTGGAAACCTTTACTTGGCAGCTCCCCAGGCTAGGTAAGGTCTGTGCTCCTAATGACACCCTTGGAAGACTGTTGGCCAGGCCTTTGGCTGAAGGTGAATGCAAGAAATTCACCTTCGTTTAATAAAAGGGGTTTTGCTGGGACAAAGAGTCGGCTTAGTGCTTCTTGGCGAAGCCGAGGTCAGAAGAGGCTCCCTGCAACCCTCTGCCAGTGGAAACGGAGCTCGGGAGGGCCGAGGCGCCATGGGCTGGTCCTTCTCTCTTTCTAGGGCAGCCCCACGGGCCTTGAGTTTGACACCCGTGCTGTAGTGGTTCTCACGGGAAGCCCGATGTCACGTTATTGAACTTTTGGGGCTAGTTGGGAAGAGAAAACTT